CCCGGCGCTGTCTCCGCTGCCCTTGTCTGCCGCGCAGGGCCCGGGCAGGCCGCTCTGCCCGCGGGCACCGGGGTGCAAGGCGCAGAGCGGCGGCCGTGCCAGGCAGCTCCTGATCCGCTATCGCGGGCAGCGCTCGCGCCGTGCGCCGCCGCCTTGTTTGCCGTGCGGGAGAGCGGGGAAAGAGGGCGGCTGTGGGAGCAAGGGGGACAGCAGCGTCGCGCCTAAGGAAAATAAAGGCGCTGCCTTCGGCAACTAGCAACGGACCTAATGGCCGGTGACGGCTGCACGGCAGCAGCGGGGTGCAGCGACGTCACGTGCCGCCCGGGGACAAGGAGCTGGCCGGGACGGCACGCGAGGCTAAAGCAGAAAGCGTTTTAGGTGAAGCTGGGACCCCACGCCGGGGCTGCACGTTGAGGGCAGCGGTGACATCGGAGCTTGCGAGATGCAAGGATTGTAATTTAAGTATCGTGGTTTGACCAGCTCCCCTCCCAGGGCAACGTGAGCCGTGGCTTTGCTCTATTTTTAGGTGGAAATCATCAGCTATTTAATTCCCTTGCAGCAAGTTCGATTTTCAGCCCTTCCCGCGAGGCCTCGCGTGACGCGCGCTCCCTGCGCGGGCGCCGCTTCTGCAAGCTGCTCGCTCTGCGTCTTTGCAGGCTGCTCGAGGCTTCGTCTCCACGCGTTGCAGGGCAGACGTGCTCCGAGGCAGGGCCAAGATGCGCTTAAAGCATCATCGAGACATCCCGGTTGCAGCAGCATCCAAGGGCTGAGCGCTTCCCTGCTCTGCAGGAGCGAGAAAACGTCACTGCTACGGTGTAAAAGCAATAAAACAAAGCCGAAAACCAGCGCGTGCCGGGGGATTTTCCCCCGGGAGCCAGTTGCCAACGTGGTCGGCGGCTCCAGCCCTGCCCGCTCCTCGCACGCAGCCCGGGGCAGCCGGGCAGGGCGGCGAGGAGGCGCCGTGGAGCGGCAGCCGGCCCCGGCGCGGGCACAGATGGCCGCGCGGGTGCGGGGACGCGGTGCCGCGCCAGCTCCTTGGCCGCCGGCGCGAGCGCTAACGAGACGCTGGCGGCAGCGCCTGCTGCTCCTCCGCCCGCGCGGCGCCTTCGGGCTGCCCAGGGGCTCGTCCCGCGTCCCGCACCCTCCGCTGCATTTTGCTCCTAGCTAGGAGCAGTGTCCGAGCCGGGTTGCGGAGACCCCAGGGCTCCCACGGTTATTTGGAAGGGGAAGAGGAGTCGCTGCTGCTGCAAGGAGCAGGTCTGCGGCGGTGGGGACCGTCGCTGTGTCGCTGCGGGCGGCACTGCTGCACAAGGGCCTGGCCACCCGAGGGGCTGCTCTGCTTTGTGGGATGTTTGGGACCGCTGGGGGGGGCAGCGTGGGGAATCCTGCCTTGTTCAGCATCACTGGGGAGCTGGAAATGTCCCCCAAAGCCATCCCAATTGCGCGCCCTGTCTCCCCATGTGGTGACGTGCGCAGCTTCCCCGGCCCTCCCGGTCGCGGAGGGAGATGCTGCTCCGGCCATCGCTTGCTCTGGAGCAGGACTGGGGTCACTCAGCAGCATCCATCCGTGGCTCATCCATCCGGGATCCCCGTGGCCGGGCTCCGCAGAGCCCCCCGCTCCCTCGGGAAGCTGCCTGCGCCAGCCGCATCCCTCCCTGCACCCCGGCGAGCCGTGCGGCCCGTCGGCGCCGGCCCCCGAAGGGGTTAAAGCGCCTCTGGTGCCGCCGAGACACGTGGGGCTGCTCCAGGCAGCGCTGCAGTGTCCTTCAGAAGGGCAGCCCGTGTGCGCGGCCGGGGCTCCCGCGGCGGCTCCTGCGGCCGCAGCGAGCGCGGGGCTGGGGCAACCCCGCACAGGGGCTGCTCCCTGGCACCCCTTGGGTTTCTCCTGGAAGCCGCCTGGCTTTTCGGGTGGCTCCGGAGCCGCGGAGCCGCCAGCGTGTTGGCCTTTCCCGCCGCACCGGTTTCCCCATCCCCACGAGTTTCCTTGCGGGATCCCGGCCCCCGCCCCGCCGCTTTCTCCGCATTCCTGCCTCGGTTTATCGGGTTCAGGCGGCGGCCAAGCCAAGTGTGTGAAATGGTTTTCCTTCTCCCTTTCATCCCATGGCTTTTTTTTTTATCCCTCGTTAAAGGAAGGAATGTTAACCCCCCGGGCTGGCAGCCGGATTCTCCCACTCCTTCTTCAGGGGCCGCAGCCTGGGAGCGGAGGGATTCGCTTTGAACCCTGCTGAGCCCTTGCAGCAAGGAGCAACTGATGCAGAAATGAAGCAGGGGATTTCTTTTTTTATTTTTTTTTTTACCTTCCCAGCTGCGGGAGTTTTTCGGGGCCTGAGTCATCCTGCGGCGTCACGAGGGCGGTGAGAAACGGGTGCTGCGACACCCGCCCTGGCTGCTGCGGGGCCCCGGGCCCCTGCCCTGGTGAGGAGCGGAGCCTGCGCCCCATGGCCCCGCACCCGGAGCCGGGACAGAGCCCCGGGCGTCTCCCAGCCCTGTCCTGGGAAGCCAGGCATGGGCCCGGAGGCTTCGCCTCCTCCTCAAGTGTTTAATTAAAAGGCAATTAAAATGTTCTTTGCACAGCGCTTTGGGGGAGGTCTTTGTGCGAGGGGAGCGGTGCCAGGGCTCTGACTAAGCCTGACCTTGGATCCCGCTCCGTATGGAGCAGGGTTGCTGCAGCGGAGCGGCCGCAGGAGGGGACAGGAGTCCCGATGGAGTGGGAGAGGGGGATGCCGGCCGGCCTTGACCCTGTGGGTGCCACAGGACACGGTCCCGAGGGGTTTGACAGGGGGGTTCTGCAGAGCGGGGTGTCCTTTGTGCGCTTTTGTGGTCAGCAGCCAGGGCCAGAGGCGGATTCGGGAGGCTCCGCAGGCTGCAGCTGGGAATGCGGGGCCGCGCGCTCCATGGCACTGCCATGGGTGCCTGGCCCTCTCCTCTGCCTCATTCCCCTGGGTGCTCATCCCATACAGCAGATTTGAGCCATTGGGACCTTCTGGCTGGATGGAGCTTGTACAACAGCCCGTCCGCGCAGCTTTAACCCAGCTGCTGATAAGGAAGGCGAAAACCGCTCCGAGCTCCGAGACTCTCCCAAGCTATCAGAGCGGGAGCAAATATTTGCCCAGCGCTGCAGATGGCCGGGTCTGCATGCGGAGGAGCCGGGCGCCGCGGCCGCCCGTGGGGACCGGCACCAGCCCCACGCCAGCGTCGCGCCCGCGTCCCCATCTCGTGCAGCACCCAGCACCCAGGGCACTCGCAGGCTCGCGTTTGCAGCCTTGCAGCAGCTCTCGCTGCTGCCAATCTCTGACTTGAAGGCTGCACTTTCCGCTGGTGCCCGTCTGGAGATGCCCGCAGGCTCCCAACTCCGCTCTGTGGTAGGAGCCCTGGCTTCCCTAGGGATCCGTCTGCTCTCCGCCTTGCTGGGGACACAGCTGTCCTGACCCGCTGGGTGTGGGACGGGGTTTAACAGGCCTGTTAACGTCTGCATTTCCTTGTCCTTGTTTGCTCAGGCTCACAGCCTTGATGGTGACTCAATGGTTCGTGCTTTCTGCTGCCGGGATGTTGCCTGATGCCTTCGATAGCAAGGGACGGCCCAAAGGAAGGAATTGGGGGTGACGGTGCGCGGTCTGTGCTGGTGATCTGGCAACCAAGGGTCTCTCTGAGCAGGGAAACAGGGTCTCAAAGGAGCTGCCTTCTCTTGGGGGGCTCTCAAAACCCAACAGGATCCCAGCGGGCGCATCCCGCGGGCAGCGCGGTGCCGCGTGCTCGGCCGCTGCCGCTGGTGCCGCCACGGCCGGCGCTCTCCCGATGCGACCTTGTGGAAATGCAGCAGCTGCTGCCCTTCTGCGGCAGCAAAGAGCAGCGGGTGCCGCAGAGAGGCAGCTCACCGGAGAGCACTGGGGCTCCTTGCTGGGCACGTCCAGCTTCTGGGCTCATCCCGCTGCCCAAGAAGGGCTCCCTCCCTGCGGAGTGCAGCAGGGGTGAACCTCAGCGGCTGCACTCAGTGCATCCCTTCGCTGCTCCCTTCGGCAGCGCTCTGCCCACCTGCCTGCTGGAACAGGAGCCCCGGGCACCTCTCCCACCTGGCTCCGGCTCCGGGCGCCGCTCCGGCCGCCCCGCTCCGGCGCATGGAGGCAGGAGCTGGCGCAGTGGGATCGCAGCTCGCTGCCGATGAAACACGGAGCAGCCAATGCGGGCAGCAGCGCAGGCGAAGGCACCGCACGGCCGTGCGAAAGCCTGAGACACCGACAGCGCCGGTCAGCGGGACCCCGGGGCCTGTGGGGGCAGAGCGAGAGACGCTTAATTGGCCCTGGGGATGAAGCAGGAGACACTTAATTGGCCCTGTGTGCGTTTTGTTCCCCGTGGGACGGACTGAGCAGCGAAAGCTGCTGCGCTGCAGGGCGCAGCTCTAAGCCTGGCTCGGGCCGGTGCTGCTGCCCGCGCCACGGAGCACAGAGAGGTGCAGATGGCAGAGCTGCACGTCCGGAACGCGGCGCTGCGGCTGCCAACACGAGGCTGCTTGTATGAAACTGCTGCCTGTGCCAGGGAACAAATGGGCCTTACTTTGGAATAGTAATTATGGGTATTAGCCAGGAAAAGTCGGCCCCCGAATCTGCTGTGGGGCTCAGTGTGCTTGGCCAGGGAGCTGGTGGCAGGGAATAGCACTGCTCCGCTGAGGACGTGACTCTCATCACATGTAACGGAGAGATGCGGAGCGGCTGTGGTGGGAGTTGGGTGCCCGGGGTGAGACAGGAGCTCCTGCAGAAACTGAGTCTGCTCTGGGGGGTTTCTGCTCTGTGAATAAGCAATGCCAGGGTATGTGAGCATGACGAGACTGCTATCCATCTTAGAGCAAGGGGAAGAAGAGGGATGGAAGAGGGAAACTGAGGCACGTGAGGAGCTGATGGGCTTGGAGGGCATGGGGAGGTGGCAGCAGAGCCTCCTGCAGAGGGGTCCTCATCCATCCAGCAGCCTCACCGGCGCGTGTCTCACTCTGTCCTCCTCCTCTCTAGGTTTCCATGTGATTCCCTCGGTGTCCAGCATCGTTCCCGAAAGCTGCCTGCTCATCGTGGTGGGCCTGCTCGTCGGGGGCCTCATCAAAGGCGTGGGGGAAAAGCCCCCCATCCTCAAGTCGGAAATCTTCTTCCTCTTCCTCCTGCCGCCCATCATCTTGGACGCCGGCTACTTCCTGCCCTTGCGCCAGTTCACGGAGAACCTGGGCACCATCCTCATCTTCGCCGTGGTGGGCACGCTCTGGAATGCCTTCTTCCTGGGCGGCCTCATGTACGCCGTGTGCCAGATCGGCGGCACCGGCCTCAACCACATCGGCCTGCTGGCCAACCTGCTGTTCGGCAGCATCATCTCGGCCGTGGACCCCGTGGCCGTGCTCGCCGTCTTCGAGGAGATCCACATCAACGAGCTGCTGCACATCCTCGTCTTCGGCGAGTCCCTGCTCAATGACGCCGTCACCGTCGTAAGTTGGGGCAGAGCATCCAGTCGCGAACACGGGGTTCACTGGGGAGCAGTGGCCTGGGGTGGTGGCACCGGGGTTGGCAGCTGTCACCGGAGCCGGCCGGGCCGCGGCAGCTCCGCTCGCCTCTAACCTTTAGCGGGTGCCAGGCTAAAGATAGCAGCCTAGGGTGGCCCAGGGGTGGTTTAAGGTTTTGCTTGGCTGTTTGGGAGATCAAGAACACGGCTGCGAGTGGAGCCTGCCCGCGCGTTGCCTCTCTCGTCCTCCCCGGCTGCGGGATGAGGGGCGAGGAGGGAAGAAGCCGAAGGGCTCCACTTCCCTGGCACCGGGTTTGCGGCGCTGGGCTGCTTGCAGGGAACAGTTCCTTTGCAAGGAGTTTTGGGAGCTTTTGGGGACATCTGTGTCCAGGTGCCGGCCTGACGTCCTCCTCTCCGCAGTGCTGACCACTACATTTCCTTCTAGCCCACTGCTTTTTCCTGGCGCTTCTCCCGTATCCCATCTGTCCGCTTGGCTGCGCCGCCTGCTGCAGAGGGGCACGGCGAAGGCGCCCGCCCAGCGCGGGGCTTTTCCCCGGCGTTGGTCCCCTCCCTCGGCCCAGGGCTCTCAGCAGGCTCTGCATCCCCTCTCCCATCGCTGGGGAACGTTTTCGCCTTCTGCTGTCCCGTCTGTCCCCTCGCAGGGCCTGGCGGCCGAGAGCTGGCACCCTGCCCTCTCGCTGCTCACAAGCGGCACCGTCCTTGCAGGAGGCTCAGGAACCAGTTCCTCGCTGCTGACGCTGCTGCAGCAGCTTCTCCTCTAAAATCTGCCCAATAAATACATGGGAGGTGGGAGATGCCACCCAGGATGGGCTCCTGCTATCGGTTTGCCCTTCCAGCTGCACAATGACTTACGAGTTGGAGCTGTTGCCTGTGCTGAGCTGGGCAGATGTTGGATTTGCTCTGCACGTAGCTGCTAGGTGTCCTCAGCCTGGACCTCAGTGCTCATTGAAAAGCAGGAATAGTCTCTTGCTGGGTCTGACCTTGACCAAAGCCCTTCGTGGGGCAGCAGTCAGGGCTCAGCAGGGATATGCGTGTCCCCACGTTGGGCCCTTTGCTGCTGCTCCAAGGATGGGAATAGGGCTCTTCTGAGGTGACGGTGCCGCTTGCCAGTGGGATGGGTTGAAATCCTCCCTCCCTTCTGCCCCCAGGTCCTCTACCACCTCTTTGAGGAGTTTGCCAACTTTGAACAAGTGACCATTATCGACATCATCCTCGGCTTCCTCAGCTTCTTCGTGGTGTCTCTGGGCGGCGTCTTCGTGGGCGTCATTTACGGGGTCATCGCTGCCTTCACGTCCCGCTTCACCTCCCACATCCGCGTCATCGAGCCCCTCTTCGTCTTCCTCTACAGCTACATGGCCTATCTCTCCGCGGAGCTCTTCCACCTCTCTGGCATCATGGCGTGAGTTGGCCTCGGGTGGCAGGAGGTGCTCGGTGGGTGCTGAGGACCCAGGGAGCCCATTTTGCCCTAGACCTTAGCCCTGCAGTAGGTGCCCTGTCCACCCTTTGCAGACGCCCAGGCCTCATGGCCTCAGGACAGGCTGTGACAAGCCATTTATCTCACTCTAACTGCACTGTTGCTGCCCCGCTGTGGTCAGCACATCCCCAGCGAGGGCCAGGGCTGTTTTTGGGGTATGCAGGTAGATGAGAAAAACACCTCTGTTGAGCTGTCCTGCAGATGCTGCAGCACTGGCTACCTGTTTCCCATTCTCTTGGTGCCAGGTAGTGGGCAGGGCCTGCTGAGCTCTCAAAAACACCATGGTTTTAGGCTGCCCAGCTCCAACGCTCACCTCTGCCCTGCCATGGGGAAGGAGAAGCCTCCTTTGCCTTCTCTGGAGGCCCTGCCTAGTTGCAGATGTCTCACAAGCCCTGCCTTGCTCTGAGCTTTAGTACAAGAGCACAAAATGCTGCTCCAGGGCCCACTCTTGTGGTAGTCCCCATGGGTGCTGAGTGCACCAACCTTGCTTCCAGGCTCATCGCCTCCGGCGTGGTCATGCGGCCCTATGTGGAAGCCAACATCTCCCACAAGTCCCATACCACCATCAAATACTTCCTCAAGATGTGGAGCAGCGTGAGCGAGACCCTCATCTTCATCTTCCTGGGGGTCTCCACTGTGGCCGGCCACCACTACTGGAACTGGACCTTTGTCATCAGCACGCTGCTCTTCTGCCTTATCGCAAGGGTCTTAGGTGAGGTGCCGACACTGGGGCAGGGCCTTTGGGGACAGTTCTGGGCTCCTCTCACATGGCAAGGCCCAAGCCTGCCTTGCTGGAGAGCCTGTCCCAGATGGCACTGGGATTGATTGGGTGGTCGCTACCCTTCCATGGGCCTCAGACCTTGCTGGTCCTTGGCCCTGTGGAGAGAACAGAGTGAGACCAAGTTTGTGCTCAGACACAACTTGAGAGCAGCCAGATGTGGCCTGTGTTGTGGGCCTGAAGGTGGTGAAGCTGCTGCCTGAAGCTGGCAGGGGGCACCCATGCAGGGCAGCACCCACCTGTGCCCGTGGCCCTGAGACTATGGCAGCGCCCCGGGTCTCTTTGGGCCATCCAAACTCCACTCAGCCGAGGCCACTTCCCCATTCCCCCAGGTGTCCTGGGCCTCACGTGGTTCATCAACAAGTTCCGAATTGTGAAGCTGACACCCAAGGACCAGTTCATCATCGCCTACGGGGGCCTGCGGGGAGCCATCGCCTTCTCCCTCTGCTACCTCCTGGACTATGAGCATTTCAACATGAGGGACATGTTCCTCACCGCCATCATCACCGTCATCTTCTTCACCGTCTTCGTGCAGGTTGGTGGCACATCACTACAGATGGGAAGGGGATGTCCCATGGGTAGCATGTCCATGAGGAGAGCAAGGAACGTTGCCCAGCCTCCAGCCTTGTCCCTGTCACTATCTGCCCTCTCGTTTGCAAAGCTCTTCAGCTCTGGCAGGTGCCACTGACAAAACAGAGCCCTGCGTGGCTGCTCCGGCCTGGGCACTTTAACCTCTGCAGCGGGGAGAGGTCTAATATGCCATGGCCATTCCCATTCCTAGGGCATGACCATCCGGCCCTTGGTGGACCTGCTTGCGGTGAAGAAGAAGCAAGAGTCAAAGCGCTCCATCAACGAAGAGATCCACACACAGGTAACGCGCTGTGCCCGGCGGGCCCCTGCCGCGCGCTTCGCTTCGCCGCCTTAGCCCTCTCCTCTCGGCTTGGGGCCACCTCTGCCGCTGTAGGCAGGCAGCTTTACAGAGCGGGAGCTGCCCCTAAGTCAGTGCCAAGGTAAGCGGGGCCGGAGCACGGGCTCTCCCCCGTCTGTGTCGTCTGGTGCCTGCTCCAACCCAGAGCTCCCGTGTGCCTGGTAGTGCGGCGCCCGGCCGCGTAGGAACGTGCTGCCCTCCCGAGGCCCGTCCCGGACCCACAGCCCTGAGCTCGCACCCTCGAGCACCCGCAGCGCGGCGGGTGGGTGACGGGGGCGGCTGGTGGCCCTGCGAGCCACCGCTGCCCTGGGCTTTCTCTTCCAGTTCTTGGATCACCTCCTGACCGGCATCGAGGATATCTGTGGCCACTACGGGCATCACCACTGGAAAGACAAGTGAGTGCAGAGCTTTTATGATGGGACCGGGTGGGTGGGATGAGGGAAGATTGGAACTGCCTCCTGGCAGCATCCCCAGTGCGTCCCCCCAGCCCCACATGCTCCCCGCAAGGAATCGTGGCCCTGAGTTGGGCGTCATTGAGGCTGAACCCCATGGCTCAATGGGGGAGCCGCCGGCAGCTGCTCCCTGTGGGACCTGCAGGAATTTAGGACCACCCATTACTGCCCCTGCGCTTGGGGGAATGGTCTCCTGGTGGCCTGGGCTCATCCTGACGAGGGGGACAGGGTGCCGGGGCAGAGGGAGGTCTCACCTGTCACCTCTCCCTCCTTGCTGCCGTGCCCTTGGGAAGGCTGAACCGCTTCAACAAGAAGTATGTGAAGAAGTGCCTGATTGCGGGGGAGCGCTCCAAGGAGCCCCAGCTCATCGCTTTCTATCACAAGATGGAGATGAAGCAGGCGATCGAGATGGTGGAGAGCGGCGGCATAGCCAAGATCCCCTCGGCCGTCTCCACGGTCTCCATGCAGTGAGTTCCTCTGGCCACGCTGCGCTTCCCGGCGGCTCCCGGTCCCGCTCCGGGCTGGGTGCTCCCTGCTTGCCGCTGTTCCGCTGCACACGTGATGACGACTCTGCTCTATCTGTGCAGGAACATCCAGCCCAAGATCCTCCCTGTGGAGCGTGCCCTGCCAGCCCTGTCCAAGGACAAGGAGGAGGAGATCCGGAAAATCCTCCGGAACAACCTGCAGAAAACCAGGCAGAGGGTAAAGTGTCTGTAATTGGGCCCTACAGCTCCTGGGGGGCTCTCTGGGGACACGGGGACATCTCAGCTGAGCTCAGGCCCCCTCCCATCAAACTGCAAGCGTGTGGTGGGCTCAGAGAGCGTCAGCCTCTCCCACCTGCTCCGGAGGCTTTGGCGAGTCGGGGCGGTGAGGAATGGTCTAGGGAAGGGGGGGGTCCGGGGTGAGTGCAGGCGTGCGGTGCTTGCTGGTGGCTGCAGCATCCCATGCAGCATCCCAGCTCCAAGGGGAACAGCGCCATGATCTTCCCCTGCCTTTCTTTGTGTTTTTTAACCCCTGTCTCCTTTTCCTGTGGCCCTTCCCAGCTGCGATCCTACAACCGGCACACGCTGGTGGCCGACCCCTACGAGGAAGCCTGGAACCAGATGCTCCTGCGGAGGCAGAAGGTCCGGCAGATGGAGCAAAAGGTGCCGAGGGGACGTCGGAGCGGGGGCAGGCGGGGAAGGACATTGGTGTCCTGCCCGCGGAGGGGACCCAGGGGTGCCAGGGCAGGGCGGACACGTGCGCAACTTGTCCGGATCCCACAGCTGCTGCTTCCCTGGCCTGGGGGCGATTCCAGGTGGGAAGCATCCTCATGCCCCCCTCCCTGTGCTCTAATTGCAGATGAACAACTACCTGACAGTGCCGGCTCACAAGGTGGATTCGCCCACCATGTCCCGCGCCCGCATCGGCTCAGGTACGGAGGGACCGAGCCGCTGCATTCCCGCCAGGGGAGTCGGGAGGGAGCTTGGGATCTGGACACGTCCCGTTTGCCGGGATGGGGAGCGCGGCGCTGTGCCGGCGCCTGCCGAGTCCGTGACCAGTCAGCAGAGGGCAGCTCCGGTCCTTGCACACCGCCGGTCTGGGACTGGATTAGCCTGCGCTTTTCCAGAGAGGCGGTGGAGGGCAGAGAAACTTCAGGAAACGGGAGGAAAATTGGAGACCCTAAACATGTGCTGGGCAGCCGGAGCCCCTGCTTCCCTGCCGGAGCCCCCCGGGTTGCGGGTTTGCTCAGCGCCAGCACCCGCGTCTCTGACCCCCCTCTGCCTCCCCCAGACCCCCTGGCCTACGAGCCCAAGACGGACTCGGAGAACCTGCCCATCATCACCATCGACCCGGCCTCGCCGCAGTCCCCCGAGTCCGTGGACCTGGCAAACGAGGAGCTCAAGGGCTCCGGCCACGTCTCCTCCTCGCCCGAGGAGGAGGAGGAGGAAGGGCTGGTGATGCGGCCGAAGGAGCCGTCCTCCCCGGGCACCGACGACGTCTTCACGCCGGGCGCCAGCGACAGCCCCAGCAACCAGCGCATGCTGCGGTGCCTGAGCGACCCGGGGCCGCGGCCGGAGCCGGAGGAAGGGGAGCCCTTCATCCCCAAGGGGCAGTAGCAGCGGCGCGGAGCCGCCTGCCCGCCTGCGGAGCCTCTTTCCTCATTCGTTCTTCTTTCTTTCCCCCACTCCCTTTTTTGGGTTCCTCCGTCACTAAACGCGCCGGGTTTGGGAAGGGGAGACCATCCTGGATGGACAGGGACTGCCAGGACAGCTCTGCCCAGCGAGCCGCAGCGGGCTGCACAGGCACCGCTCGGGGCCCGCGCCGCCTTTCCCGAGCCTGCCTTGTTCGGGAGCAGAGCTCGGAGCCGGGAGCCACCTCTGCTCCGGGCGCCCCGCACAGACACCTCACGCGGGGCCCGCACGGATGCTCCGGCGCCGCGGCCGCCGATCTCTCCTCCAGCCCGGGAGCGTCTCCTCCAGCACTGCATTTCACGCTGGGTCTTGTTCAATACGTATCAATAGCCATGCAGGGGGGATGCAGGTGCCCCCGCGCTTCCGTGGCCCCTCCGGCCGCTCTGTCCCTCCTGGATCGCCCGGCCGCGGGGCTGCTTGGCCCTGCCCCGCGCCCGCCTGCGCCCCGCGCTTCCCGGGGCAGGGAATGCCAAAAGCACCGGGTGCTCCTTAACCAAAGACCGCCACCGAGTTGGATGTGCAGGGGGCCACGGCCTGCAGATGATTGTATTTCAGTTTTTTACTCCGTGTGTTTTGGGGTTTTTTTTTTTTCCTTACCTATCCCCTACAAGAGCTTGGGAAGAGCCAAGGGTCCCCTCGGAGGGGGCAGCCGGGGCCCTCGGCTTGGGAAGCGGGCGGCGTGGCCGGGAGGGAGCCCGGCGGGTCTCTCGGAGCGCCGTCCCCCCGCGCCCGCCGTGCCTTGTCCCGCGGCGCCGTCCCCGCCGCCGCTCGCTCTGCCCGCTGCCTCCAGGAGGGGATAAAAAACAAAACAAAAGCAATGAAAATTCTCTCTTGTTTAAAAAAGGAAAAGAAAAAAAAAAACACATGTAAAGAGAATCTTGTTTTTTTCATGAATATTCTAATAAATTAATGTTAATTTTTAGCAGGTTTTTCTCTGGACGGTCAAGTGTCCAAATGCTGCAGTTGGGGCTTGGCCATCGCTTGCGGGGACGGGGAGGATGTCCTGGTGCCTGGAGAACCCTCAGGAACCTCCTCGCAGGCCGGCAGCTTCCCGAACTTGCCTTCCCAGCACTCCTGCTTTTGAATTTCAGGGAGAAAGGAGTTTGGGGCCCGGCCCCTGAGGTGCCGCCTCCTTGGCCGCCGGCACCCCGGCCTGTTCCCTTGCTGCACATTACCGCCCTGCCGCGAGCAGCGGTGACTCAGGCGCCGAAAATGCAGCGCGCGCCGCGGCTGGCCCCGCTCGCGCGCTTACCGGCCCCGCGGCCCGGCCCCCATGGAGCCTCCGCTCCGGGATTCGCCTCGTGTGCCGGGATGACCTGGGCAGCCAGCGGGACCCCCATAGGATTTGGGGTGTCCCGGCCGTGGGGGATGCGGGATATGGGATGGGGGATGCAGTGCCGCCGGGGCATCCCGCCACGTGCCACAGAGCAGCACGTGTGGCCGCCCCTTTGGTGTTGGCCATTCCTTTAATGTGAGAAAGCGCCAAACAGAGGCATTTCCAGGATATTCCGGTTTCTCTCCCAAGGCGTGAGTAACTTTTCTTAATGAGGACGGAGTCACGATGCCCGCGGCGCGGGGCCGGCGCGCTGAGGCACCGCCAAAGAGCGCGCCGAGCATCCCTGCTCCGGCTGCTGGAGCAAAAGCAAAGCGCTGGGAATGCCGGCTCCTTCCCGCAGCTCCGCGGCCGGCCACCCGTGGCCACCCACTGCCCCGTTTGCTGCGAAGTTGCCCAGGGCCAGGGGCGCCTTCTGGAACCGCCGCTCCCTGTGCAGCACGGATGCAAATCCCGGGATGCCAATCGCAGCGGGCTGCAGCCCCCGAGCTCCGTCACGCTGTGGCACTCGGTGACATTTTGCAGCCGCCCCGGGGAGGTGACGCCGCCGTTCCCCAGCCCTGCGTCACCCTCGGTAATGACACCCTGCGTGTGGCGGTGGCTTTCATCCCGCGCGCCCAGGCCTGGCGGCTCACGACACCCGCGCGGAGGCTGGTGCCGGGGCCGGCCCGGGGGATCGTCCTTCCCGGGAGGCAGATGGAGCCGCGCGGGCCCCGCGAGGACTTTGCCCTCTCGGGAATGGTCCTTGCTGCCTTCGCAGAAAGCCCCGTCCGAAGGTCCAAAATCAGACCTAGTTTTGGTTCCAAAATCGGTTCCTAGTTTCCAGTTTCTGGTTCTCCCTACGCTGCGCTCAGCTCCTCCGTACCGCGGGGCTTCCAGCACATCCCGGGTTTCCCAAAGCACCTTCCTGCTCCGCAAGAGAACTGCCGCCGATCCCAAGCCATTCCGAGCCAATCCGAGCCGTTCCGGCCAATCCCAGACATTACCACCGCTCGGGAGAGGGAAGGAAGCCCCCAGGGAAGGGCTCCGGCTTTGCAGCCGCTGCCGGCCGGAGGTGGCCCCACGTGCCGGTGGCACCGCGGGGAACTTCCCCAGCAGCCCTCGGAGGACGGGCCGGGGGCCGAACGGGAGGTTCATTTGCCAAGGGAGGTTTTGCACACAAGCGAGCTGGGATGAAGGGCTCCACCTGCTAAGTCCACAGCGGCGCTGGGTGGCAGACGCGGGGAGAGCGGCGCGGCGCGGGGCACATTGGCACGCGTGCGCCAACGCCACGTGCACGTGGTGGCCGATGCCGCCCGGGGTGGCCGGCGCAGGGAGGCCAGAGCGTGGGGACAAAGCTGGGGGGACACCAGGAGGAAGGTGCCAGGACCTCGGTGGCCCCGACGCCCTGTCCCTGCCGCTCGCTGGGGTCCGTGGGTCACCCCCTGCTCACGGCGGGTGGGAAGGAGCCAGCGCCCGGTGGCACCAGGAGACCGTGGGTCCCAAGGGACGAGGGGTGGGAGCCCCGGCCCCGCGGGGGCTTCGCGGCGCCGCCAGCCGCCACCGCGGCTTAATCACCAGCAAAACAAACGAGGGCAGCCGGGGCCGGCCGAGCTGGGAGGAAACGGCCGCGGATCCGTCCCCGGCGGCGCCGCCGCGGGGCACTCGTTAGGGGCTGGACGCTACCGAGCCGCTCGGCCAGCCCGGCCGCGGCCCTGCTTAATGGGAGCCTTCCTCGCCCTGCCAGAGTCCTCCTCGCTGCGCCCGGCGCTGCCCGCGGCAGCCACCTGCATCCCGGCCCCTTCCAGCCCTGCTCCTGCTTTCCCAGCCGCCCTGGCGCCGCTCTTGGGAAAGGCCTCCCGAGCGCGCTCCCCTGCCCCGGCCAGCAAAGGCGTTGCGCAAGGAGAGGCGCCCGCCCCGCACGGGTCTCCCTCCAGTATTTACTTTTGCACCGAGTTCCTGGGAATTGCACTTTCCCGCGGCGCTTCCCTCCTTGCAGCCGCTTGGCACCGGGCACCCTGCAGCACCCACGGAGCAATGGGCAGGCAGGCGCCCGCCTCGGGAATTCCCTACCAAAAAGGTTGTTTCTCTGCCAAGGAAAAGGGAAAAGTTGGGATTTTTCCAGTGAGCCGCGATTCCCCACGGACCCCCCGCGGCGGGGGGGGGAGATTCCCCACAAAGGGGAAAACGACCCCTAGATGCGCCCGTGTTGGGGCAGGATCTGGCTACGCGCGAGCGGGGGGCAGCGCCGGCCGCGGGGTCCCGGTGCGGGACACGGGGCTGCGGGACAGCGGGGTCCCCGGGACCCCCCGCGCACCCCGCACATGGCCCCGCCCCGCGGGCCGCTGTTTCTTTAAATCCCCGTCCCGCTCCCGACCAATCACCGCAGGGATTCCCAAAGCCAGGGGGCGGGGCCTCAGCACCCTGCCCCGCCCACTCCAGCCTCCGCCCCTCCTCCTTCCCCGCCCTCTGCTCCCCATTGGATATCCGCCTTCCCGTGCGGCCAACGAGAGGGCCGGAGCGGCGGCAGCGCTCGGCGGCGATTGGCCGGGGGGCCGGGCCAATGGGGGCGCGGCCGGGCGCCTACATAAGGCAGCGCCAGGGCGCGGGCGAGCGCACTGCTCGGCGCAGCCGGTGGCGGCGGGCGGGGCGAGGCGGCTCCGCTGCAGCTCCCCTGCGGGCACCGGCCGCGGGGCGCCTTCCCCTCCCCCCGCCCGAGCACCCCCTCCCATCTCCCCCTCCCCTCTTTTTTTTTTTTAAATTATTATTTTTTCCACCCAAAATCCCGCCTCGGGAAGCCCGCGCTCCTCTTCCGGCCGCGTTCCCGAGGCAGCGGGGCGGGGGGGGGACGATGCTGGCGGCGGCGCCCGGCACCGGCGGCTCGGAGCAACGCGACGGCGGCGGCGGCGGCGGCCGCTTCAGCGTCCTCACGTGGCAGCAGGTGCAGCGGCTCGACCAGATCCTGGGCGAGGCCGTGCCCATCCACGGCCGCGGCAACTTCCCCACGCTCGCCGTGCGGCCGCGCACCATCGTGCAGGTGAGGCCGGGCCCGGCGGGGCGGACTCTGCCCCGCTGCCCCCCGGCGGGGCCCGCCGAGCGCCGGGGCAGAAAATAAAAAGCGCTGAGGCGGCGCTATCCGGCCCGCCTGGCCCCGCGCCAGCCGCCGGCCCGGCCCTGCGCACGGCGGGCCGCGGACCGGGCGCCGCGGCGGCGAACCGAGCCCTTCTGCGGGGGGGAAACCGGCCCTACGGCCCTGCCCTCCCACGGTGGCCTTGGGCTGCCCCCATCCCACCCCTCTCCTCCCATCCAGGCTGCAAAATCCTAATGCCCAGCCTGGAATTGTGCTTTTGGCTGCAAATATCTTCATATTGCGTGGAATGCGCCCATGCTGCTGGCCGCGCATCCCTCTTCAAAGGCGCTTCGTGATTTAAAGAGCAGCTCGGACGTCAGCGTGCTCTGGGTCTTGTCAGCCCGGCTCTGTCCTCCGCTGGGCCTGGTGGTGCTCGAGTGTTCCTGCTAGCTTAACCATAAAGTAATAATGATGTTTAATATTAACTGACGGTGTAGCTCAAATAAGCTGATGCATATTCATGCTTGGGAGGCAACTTCATTCCTCGGTCGTGACTCATCAAATGTAAAATCAGGCATGCTGGCTTCTAATTAAAAAGGCTATTTGCCAGCCCGGGACCGAGCCGCCTTTCACAACGCGCCGGGTGCTGGGGTTTGGTGGAAGCCTCGGCTGCTCCAGAAATATTCCGGCTTGAGTTTGGGAAAATGGTCGGGCGGCGTTTGAAAGCGGCTGCTTTGTGCGAAAGCCTTGGCTGGTGTCAGATTCCTGGAGTTCCTGCTGCGTTTGTGGGTTGCTGAAGTGCTCAATATCAGCCGTTTGTGCTTCCAGAGCCTTAATGAAATTCCAGGCAAAAGGAGTGTTGCTTTTAGACGACTGCAGCCGGGTTTTGATGGGGTAGCAGACGCTGGCGAGCCGGGCACGGCGCAAGTCACATCTTCCCTCGCCTGGCAGCACCCTGGCGAAGCCGAAAGGCCCCGGAGCGGGAGCTGCTGCAAAGGATGTTGCCACTGGCAACTTCAGCACCAAATACTCAGGGCTGTCATTCCGCCCGGCCGCGCTGGCAGACCCTCTATTTTGGTGTGACTAATGCGGGACGAGTAACCCGAAAGGCAGCGCGTTGCGCGGCGAGGCACGCGGCCGAGCGCGGGTCCCTCCGGTTGGTTTTGGAGCCGATGACGTGCAGCGCGCGAGGTGCTGTTTGGGAAGCAGGTCGGTAGCCATCTAACCCTTCAAACATCTGCCCCTCTGGGGAAAAACGCATTCCTGAAGCCACCAGCTGCAGCCGGGGAGTCGACCTCAGGTGCGTTTCAGGTTGAGACTAGTTGGGCGAAGGCTGCCGCGCGCTCGCGGGCCCTGGAGCGGCCGCGCGGAGCAAGGCTGTCGCGCCAGCCCAGGGCTGCTTGGCCCAAGTGGGTCACGAAAGTGGGGACAGGCTCAAGGAGCTGGTGCTGTCACCTCTGCGCTCATGGGGTTATGAACCTGAAGCTTATGGTGCAAAGGGCTGTAGTTCCTGAGCCAAGCCCCAAGTGGGATTAAGCAGACATTCCTTGGACGTGGCTGTGAAATCGATCTGGGAATGGGATCTTCTCCGAACAGTAGTCCTAACCCTGTGACCTATATCCCGTTTCATGCGAGTCTGCTAGCTGAAAACTCTTACTTCCCCAAGTAACAGTGCACGGAGCAGCACCTCGTGCGAGTAACTCCAGCCTAGTAGACCATCCTCACTGCTCCATTGGCAGCAACTCTGCTGTAACCTCCCCTTTGGAGCTCCTCTGGATTAGCCTTTGGATGCCCTTCCTCTTTATGTGGGAACAAACCAGCATCATGTCCCAAAAACCAAATTTCCTGCCTAGTTGGCTATATGCAATTGAAAACGGATAATGTTCATGGCTGGCTTGGATGTTCTGGGGGGGACTTGGGACTTCTGACGGTGACTAGCTCCCTGGTGAACTGTTCCCTGACACGTGACTGTCACCCTTTGGTTGGCAAAGAGCCCGGGCACCCTTCTAGCTGGAGCAGCAATTGCTGGTGTCAGGGAGCAATGGAGAAACAGCAGCAGAGAAGCTGCATCATGAGGTTTAACAAAGTCCCGAGCTTGTGATTTAACGAGTTTGAGAACATTCCTGCAGTCGTACCAAAATATCTTGCGTTTGCAAGGGCACCTCAGGGTCAGTGGCGTAGCTCAGCTCTGTCAGCGAGTGGCCGGTGACGTGGAGGAGTGTTTTGGAGTCCTTTGCTTTTGTGCGTAGCGCCTCTTCTGAAAGCTTGTGGAGGGGGACAGCTCGGCTGCTGCTTTGCTGTAAGGCCGCTCTGAGAGCCCCTCTGTTCTTGTGTTTCGAGGGGACCTCTCGAACTAGGGCAGCATCGCAGGGCTGGGTAGGTCTCTCGGACTGGGTTCTAGCAATACAGCCTGTCCGTTTGGATCCCAAAGTCTGACCAGGACCCCAAGGTTTGGCTTCCTCAGCCCTGCTTCAAAGCCCAGGCGATCAGGCTGCCTTGCTAAGACTTCCAGGACCTTTTCTGAGAGCCAGAGATGCATGAAAGCGGGAGGAGGGACAGGCTGAGCTTCTGGTGGAAGACCTTGACTTAATCTCCCTGAGATCTTTGAGCTCAGTTAAACTCAAATTACAAACTGATGCCCAGAATGTTTATTTTATGGTCTTAAGGTTATTTTAGCCTCCTGCATGTTAAGTAATTGGACAAGTGATTCAGCTTCATACTAAGTGAACAAAGCTTTGGAGGTGCCGGTGGGTGTGTCGGGACTGAGCAGGCATTGAAATCACTGCAGTAACACCCCGAAGATGAAAGCTCTTGTGCTTGATAATATGCCAAGTTCAGCACAAAGCTCTGACACACTGGAAATTGTTAGGATACACGTACTAGTTAGGACATGAACTTGGATGCGCCTGGCTCGGGCTTTGGAGCACTCTGGCACCCTGGTTTGCCTTTAATGGATCTTGACAGGCAGAGGGGCTGGCTGACATGGGCGAGTCACCCCGATTAAATCAGCGGGGACTGGGGCAGACTGCTGCTGCCTTGTGCCTAACAGGGACTTCTTTGGGTCAGCCAGGCTTCAGACTTAATGCTCTGGAATGGCTCTCTGCCTCTTCCCGAGTAAGCCAAGAGGAGGGGGTGAAGGAGACCCCAAATCCTGGTGAGGGGAAGAGCAAACTGCGGGATGGGGAGGGAACCCTGTGTGCGGCAAGGGCCCCGTAATGCCAAGGAGCAAGGAAATGACCCTGGGGGCCTTCCAGAGTGACCTGTTTGTGATGGATTAGCTTTGTTTTGCACTGGAGTGACCCATGCGAGCGTGGGGAGTGAATCCTGCGGCTGTAACAGCTCTGCTCTGTGAATGCCTTCCTGCCTCTCTCACCGAGACTCTCTTTGTATCGCAGGTTGTCCGTAGCCGCCTGGAGAAGAAAGGAATCACGGTCCACAATGTCAGGCTGAACGGCTCTGCAGCCAGCCACGTTCTCCACCAGGACAGCGGCTTGGGCTACAAAGACCTAGATCTCATCTTTGGTGTGGACCTCAAGACTGAAGACGTCTTCCAGCTCGTCAAGGATGTGGTCATGGATTGCCTGCTCGACTTCCTCCCGGAAGGCGTCAACAAAGACAAGATCACCCCCATGACTCTGAAAGAGGCCTACGTGCAGAAGCTGGTCAAAGTGTGCAACGAGACCGACCGCTGGAGCCTTATATCGCTGTCCAACAACAGCGGGAAGAACGTGGAGCTCAAATTCGTGGACTCGCTCCGGCGGCAGTTCGAGTTCAGCGTGGATTCCTTCCAGATCATCCTGGATTCGCTCTTGCTGTTCGGGGAGTGCTCGGAGAACCCCATGGCGGAGAACTTCCACCCCACGGTCACGGGGGAAAGCATGTACGGGGACTTTGAGGAGGCCATGGACCATCTCCGGAACAGGGTCATTGCTACCAGGAACCCTGAGGAGATCCGAGGTGGGGGGCTTCTGAAGTACTGCAACCTCTTGGTGAGGGGGTTTAAGCCCAAGTCTGAAGTGGATATGAAGGCACTACAGAGATACATGTGCTCCAGGTTTTTCATAGACTTCTCTGACATCGGGGAACAGCAGAGGAAGCTAGAGTGCTACCTTCAGAGCCACTTTGTTGGGATGGAGAGCAAAAGATATGACTATTTGATGACCCTTCACAGGGTGGTCAATGAGAGTACGGTCTGCCTTATGGGACACGAGCGGAGGCAGACCCTGAACCTCATTGCCATGCTGGCTGTGAGGGTCCTGGCTGAGCAGAACATCATCCCCACGGTCACAAACGTTACCTGCTTCTACCAGCCAGCTCCCTATGTCAGTGAAATAAACTTCAACTACTATGTCACCCACGTGCAGCCCTTCCTGCCTTGCAATCAGTCCTACCCTACGTGGCTTCCCTGTAACTGAGCCAGGACTAACTTCAGGGTCTGTCCTCCAAGGTATTTTCTTGCCTTGGGGAGTGGGGTGGGGGGGGAGCCTTCCCAGAACTGCAACGAGAGGCAACTTCTTGGACTCTTGCTCCAGCGCCTTGTCCCCGGGATTTGGGGAGCAAGGGCTGTCTGCTGTACACTGTGATTTGGATGTGCAGTGTTATGGAAACTAGATGACCTGGGCGTTTACGGGGAGCCTTGATCGCTTATCGAATTCTGTAGGCACCGGGGGAGGGTGGGGGTGTGAGGGAGATTGTAGAATTACAGTAAGGTAGAGCTGCACTGCCCTGAAACGGATCTGGATTTCTTTTTTTTTTTAGTGCAGGAGGTGTTATGTGTGTGCAGACTTGTGGTTTCTGAAGCTAGAAGCCAGAGTGGCTAATTCCTTTGAAGGACCAAAGAATCCTGTATAAGTGCCTGTAACAATATAAACACAACTGTACTGTAAACCTTATACAATTTTTTTTTTGCAGGGGTTGACATCCCAAGAGCTTGAGGGGGGGATGTCTCGAGAGGAAAAGATGTGTTGGGTGGGGAGAGGATCCTGAGATCGCTTGTAGTCCCCTTGCTGAAGCAGGCCGGGGGCTGCAGGTTGCTGAGGCTTTGGGCAGCAGTCGCTGCCTGGGAAGGACCAGCTGCAACGGGGAGCTGGGGCGGCCGAGCTGCATGAACCGGGGTGGGCTTTGGATGAGCAGCTTCGTGCAAGTGCCCCCGGCGGGGAGGGAAGGGGCATGGAGGCGAATGCCGTGCGGAGCTTCCTGGAGAAAAGGCAGCAGGGACCTACGTGTGGATTTACCTAAAGCTCCTGAGTCTGCAGTGCCAAAATGTCGTGATGTACATAATGCGGCAGGAGATCTGTCCAGGAGCCTGCCCTAGGCTACTGTACATAACTGTATATTTTCTAGGGGAATTTGAAATGCTGCTTTTTCCTTTTTTTTTTTCTTTGGCATGCAATGTGGTTTTAATGCACAAAGGCAGGGGCCAGCTGAGTGGTTGGGGAAGATGAGGCTTGTCCTTGAAGCACAAACCAAGTGGCCAACGGGGCTGGAGCCCGTGCTCTTCATAGTGGAATTCTTGGACTCTGGACCTTTCCAGACCCTGGCCTCCTGTGGCCTGAAATCTTCCCTCTGCCTTTGGGCAGGTCCTGTCTTCAAAAGCAGCCGATTTCCACCTGTGTGATTCCACATGTGCACAACAGCGTTTTGAATTCATTCCTAGTTAGAAAAGGAACCTGGGGGGGGTTGTGCAAAAGTCCGTTGGCCTTAGGAAAAAAAGTCTTCTCCAAACAAACCCTTGTGTGCAGAGGGCTTGGCTATCTGAGTCAAACATGGCTTTGAAGTTGATGGGTGTCCAGAGCACAAACAGTCCTTTGCTGAGATGCGTGGTCTGCAGAGCCCATTCGTGTGGAACATCATCTCGGTTTAACTATGCATGGTTGGAGAGGTGGGAAAGCAACCCGGCATTCCCTAGATATGCTGCTCTGGGAACGCCGTGACCTCATGGTGCTTCCTCCAAGGCTAACATACTTGAGTATCTTTACTAACTTGTTTCTTTTGTTTTTTTTTTTTGTTTTTTTGTGACAAAACTGTAATAGCTGGGCAGACTGAACACTCTAATAAAGACTAGCTACTTGGAATGTGTATAGCCAGAATGCTACGTTTTTTGGGCGAGGGGTGCTCTGGGGTGGGGGGAAGGATCTGGGAGCTTTTGCACATAAGGGAAACTAATCTTCATTTGCTCTGGCTTTGCTTCCAGCGCGGTAAGAGCCGAAGAGGAAGCGTCGCTAATGCTGTAGTCATTACAGGTTTAACGATGCCTTCCTGTAGAATGGCCCTGCCTTGGCCGGCCAGTCCCCTGCAACCCAGTAACTCCTTGGTGCCCAGAGCCCGAGCCCTGTGATGGCACTTTGGGACCTTTTCAGTGCCAGCTAAACCAGTTTCAGGGCCACTTTTGATGTCTTAAGCCTGCCACCTTCATGGCTTCAAGGGAAGACTTCTTTGATTCTCGCAATTTGAACTTCAGATCAACATGTAGCATGCTTTTTTACAGGCTTCTTATTCTGTACCCACAGACACATAGCCACACGAAGCTGAAATTCCCTCCCTCCTGCTTAAGATGTAAAGATTCCCTGCAGCCAACAGCTCAATAGGGCAATTTAAGATTGCACTTTGGATTTATGGAGTGAGTGTGTGTGGTGGGACTCTTGTGAATGGGTTGAATCTGAATTTTCTAGAGCTCTCAGTGATACTGTGCGGCCTCCTGTGAGGGGGAAATTGGAAGATTCCAGTGGCTTGAATGGCACTTGATTTTGTTTAAAATGTTTTTTTTTCCTACACCTGTATCACTTGTCATGCGATGGGCTTGACATAGACTCACTAGATTCTTTAGAATCTGTTACAAATAAATACAGTGTATTCAAATTTGTTGGATTTTTATTTACTTGTCCAGCAGGGTAGTGTGGCGGTAAGATTTTGGGGCGGGGGGGAAAAAAAAAACCCAAAAAAACAGGCTCTTAACCCAAAGAGTTGCCTTGGGAGCAGAGCGGGCTGCTCTGCGCTGCCGTGCTGGGCTCCTGGTGTGTCCCGACGCTCCCTGCACTCCCGTTCCCAAAGCTGGAGCGGCTCTCGGGGCTGCTCCGAGGGCTGAGAGAGGCTTCTATTTATACCGCTGCTCTCCGGGGCAGGGCATGTTCCCTTTTCCTGGCATCCTGCTCGCTCCATGGGGATCCGGACCTGGAATGCTGTCCTGCGGAGGACCCCGCCGTGGCTCCCGCCTCTTGCTGCTGCCTTTCCACGACTTTGGCTGATGGTCGTGAGCAGCAAAAAGGCTCCGGTAGCTCCTTTGTGCCCATCTTGAGCAGCTCAGCCACCTGCAAAGCCTTTCCGCTTGGAAAGGGAGGGCGAGAAGCTCCAAGAGGACTAATTTTCCAGCCAGATCCATGTTCTGGTCAGATAACAGTCGGACGGCCGCCTGTAGCCAGGCACAAGCTCCTCGCAAAGCCCTGGCCGCCCTCCAGCCCCAAGCTGAGGTTTCACTTCCCGGTGGAGCTACAGGCGGTTCTGGTTCCCCTGCGACAGTCGGACTTGTCAGGGCGCCAGGGGCTGGTGGGGCCGCGCACGCTCGCTCCGCTTCTCCACGTTCCTCCCGTGGAGGGGCCGAGCTTCCCTCCGACAACAGGCCGGGATTGTTCCTGCCGGGCTGGCACCGGCCTTGCTCGTGGAAGAATGCAGCCCTATTGTCCCCCTAAGCAGGACTTAGCTCTTGCAGAGCCGGTTCCTACGCGAGCCTGGCTTTTCCCCTGCCCCTTTGGCGGTGCCAGGGGGTATCTGCTCTCCCCAAAACCTCCTGCTCCCGCTGTTGGCAGCGGCTCCGAGGCCGCAGCGCCCTGCGCCTCTCGGTGCCCTGGTGAACGAGCTGCCTCCGGACCGGTGACCCCGAGCAAAATCCCTGACGGGCTCGGCCTCTCTTTGTTGGAGGGGATCAGCCTCTACAAAAGGATGCTGGTGGAAAGTGCTAGTCGCGATCAGAAAGGAGCTACCAGGCTTTACAATGGGGATTTGGATCCCTCTTTTGTTCACCGTCAAATAGAAACATATATTTTCTCACAGGGTGGAGTCTGTTGGGGTTTTTTTTACCCCTGAACACAGGGTTAGGGACGAGTCAGGATGCCCCTGAGCATCTGGTTTGGGTAGGAAATCACAGATCAGATGAAATGTGGGCTCTAGTAATAAATGCATTAATTTAATGTGTGTGGGTGCAAAGGGCTTCCCTCCCAGCCTCGGCTCCAGCGCTTTGCTGCATGTTTTGCAGTGTGTGGAGTAGCTGTGGTTAGAGAGCAGAATTGGGGCTGTATTTAATGCACTAAAGTGTTGAATGCTGGAAAAAAACCCGAGGATTTAGCATGAAAGAATTCTTGAAGGGCTACAGGTAGTCCCAGCTCCAGACAAGGGCTTCCTTGGGGGTGCCTTCCCTCGCTCCACCTCCTCCTGCCTGTAATGGGAGTGTTTTCCCCCTCTGTCCTAGTAATTCCCTATTTTTAGAGCATTAGTGCTCGGCATGGGCTAGGCGGGTGTGGATGGCGCTCGGCACTGCCGGGCGCGAGTGACCTCCGGGGCCGGCGCGCGGCTTCGGGGGCTCCGGGAGCGGGACACGTGGCCGGCATCGCGGCCGGGGTGGCGGATGGGCGCCCCAAGGGACCTGCTCCATCGACCACGTCCACGCCGGGGGGTTTCGGGGCTTGCAGCTGCAGAGACGCGTTTGGTCTAGGAGGGGGCCTGGCCGCAACGTCAGGCGATGCGGGAGCCCAGTTTCTGGCTCCGTCCTCGGCGCTTTCGGCTCTTGTAGCACCCCAACTCATCCCGCGGGTGAGCCCATCCGCGTGCCGCTCCGGCTCGCTGCTCCGGGGTCGCTCCGCACGGTGTCCGCGGCCGTTGGCGCCGGAGCGCGGCCCGTCCGCGCGGCTCCTCTCGCCGTTTACAGCCGCGCTGGGGCAGCCGCTGCGCTGCGGCGCCCGCTGCCAAGCACCACACAAACGCTCCATTGAGAGAGCCGGGCTGGCGCGCGGCGCCGCCGCGGGAAGCCCCTTTCCGAGCGGGAAGAGGCCAGCACGGAGATGTGGGCAGCTCCCCTCTCTTATCTCCTGGCCCCCATCGCTGTCCGCTCGAGGCTCCAGGTTAGGCCTAAGATAAGATTTGGGCAGCGGGATTTGAGAGGGTTTTGCCTGGTTTTGGACGTGGTCTGTCTGCCTGGCCGGACAGGCGGTTCCAAGGCTGGTGTCACTGCACACAGCCCTGGTTGTCACCTGGCTCGGCCACCTTCTCCTCTTTTTCCCCCTTTCCTGGTGTTTTTCCCTTCAGGACAAGCGCACTCAGCTGCGGGCGGCAGCCCGGCTCCCAGCAAAGCCCCGCGTTCCCTTCCTCACTCCTGTTTTCCCCATATCCGCTCCCGCTGGCTGCACCCCTGGCTGCTGTCGCGCAGGGCTCTGATCGCAACCAGCCTGGGGCAATCCCGGAGCTGCCGGGACGCGGAGCAGCGCCGGGACGAGCGGGCTGCGAAACCCTCCCCGGCTCCTCGTCGCTCGCCGGCTCCCGCGCCGCCGCCGCAGCGGGGCCGGGCCGGGCCGGCGGCGCGGGGCCAGGGAGGCGCGGGCCGATGCGTCACCCGTTATCTTGCTGGTGCAGCAAGAGGCAACGCGCGGGTTCCCCTCCCCAAAGCTCACAGCATGTTTCCCCGCGCGGCCTCGCCAAGCAGGAGCTGCTCCCGGCTCGCAGAGGGACCTTTCCCTTTGGCGGCGCAGGGGAAGGCGCTTGCTCCACGCGGGAGCATCCCGCTGATCCTTGCCCTGTCCGCTGTGTTTGCCCTGCTTATCTCGCCGCTACCGAAGCGGGAGCAGTGTCACCCTGCCTTGCACGGCGCCCTCCCCGCGCTCCTGCCCTACATTTTTGCCTTGTAATACAAGGAGGGGCCGGGCGCATGACGCCCTCTCCTCCTTCCCCGCCGGAGCCGCAGGGCGGTGGGGCTGGAACATCTGATTGCTTTAAGGATCCCTCTACTACTCTGCAATTAGAGGCCATTTCATCTCGAAATCCCGGCTAAATCCGCATGGCCGCGGCGTGACTCACGTGGCGCCTGCTGCCCTGCCGGAGCCGGCGTGCATTCCTGACGGGCCGGACACGGCAGTGCGAACGTGCCGCTCGCTAACCGCCCTTTCCCAAAAACCACCCGCGCGACGAGTCGAGCCAGTCCCGGGCCTGCCCCTGCACCGGCCGGGACGTGGTGCTTTGCAGAGCACGGACGGAGCCATCCGCCTTCCCACTAGGATCCGGCCTGCGCTCCAGCAAAGGGCAATTCCCTACCTGGGTGCACAGTAGCTCATGAGCACCCCACTTGTGCTGCCGCATGGGATGCGTAAGGAAATCCTAGTGCGTAAGGAAACTCTAATTGCAAAGGGCTGGAGAAGCAGGAGGGAGCCTTCCCGCTGCCACCCGCCAAGGCGCCGCGCGCTCCCCCAGGAATGCCGCCTCGGAGGGCGCAGCGCTAATTTGGGGGTGGACTCGGCTCTCGGGGCTCCTGCGCGGCGGGAGGCCGAGCGCGTGAGTCACGGTGCCCGTGGCCCCGCTGCACGCGCGCCCTTCCGAGCCGAGCCCGCGGCTCACGGCGCTTGGGCCTAATTGCAATAATTGGCCGGTCGTTAGCTTTGCTTTGTGCAGCGTAATGCCCAAGCTGACGCGGGATGGACGCCCACACTTCCTGGAGGAAAAGCTTTGAATCCGGGCTGCTGCCAGGGCTGCTCCGCTCGCAAGGCGCTAACACGGACACTGCTCCCAACACAGCCTGGGGACAACGTGGTGCAAAGCCCGGCTTCCCGCAGGATTTTCCGCTCTCTTGCCATCCCGGGGCGAGATCGGGGCTGGCTCTGGTGCACGTGGGCAGCAGGGCTGCAGCTCAGGGCGCTTGCACAAACCTTTGAAAGCCGGGCCTAGCCGCGTGACCCTCTCATGGGGGAAAGCCGCCCTCTCGTTAGGCTCCGCCGCAGCCGCCTCCTCCGCTTCCCTCCTCGCTTCCCGTCCTTCCTCCCTTCCTCCCGTCCTCCCTCCCTTCCTCCGCGGGGACGGTCACACACAGGCACGGGGACATCCCT